TTCAAACCCTGTGAGAGATACCAGGGTCATGTGCCCCAGAGGAAGGACCATGTGAGGACACAGAGTGGCTTCTCCCATCTGCAAGCCAAAGACTGAGGCCTCAGGAGAAACCAGATCTGCCAACAACTTGCTCTTGGGCTTCAAGCCTCCAGAGCTGTGAGAAAGCAAATTTTTGTTGTCTAAGCTACCCAGTCTGTGGAATTTTGTTATTATAGTCATAGCAAACAAACACAACTACTGATCAGAAATGCGTAAGTGGAATGTTTTAAGAAGATAAACACAGTGAATAGTAAATCCAATAGTAAATCACATATAAGTTGTCTGAAGTTCTATAAATATGAAAGAAAATGGGAAACTACAGGGAGATTTTAATATTTACCTAAAGAACAACCTTTGTGAATAGAAAAGGACACCTACTAATTATAGAGAGGGAGTGTTTAGAGAGGGCATTTAGAGATGTTGGTGGATAATCTTCAGTGGGACATTAGAGCACAGTTGCTTATTAAACCAAATGGAGCAATGGGATTCTGTGAAAGCTGCATTGTGAAATTTCCAGCATGGTGCTGACCTCCAGCAGTGAGACAAGCACCTATCTCTACCCTTGCAAACCTATGTGCAGTCAAAAGTCACTCTGTGGCCCAGGGGCCCAGACCGAAGAGTCAACCTTCTTGCTGTAGTTCCTATTGCATACTCAATTCCATTTTTCTGGACACTTTCTGCACACTTGTTCTGGCTTCTGATTTCACCTTATTCCAGGACTCACATTCATACTCTACAAGAAGATTTCAAACAACTCTATGGTGGTAATCTTTAGCGGTTTAATGATGGCCAAAGAAGATGCTAACTTATCATATTCCTCCCAAGAGCCCACTGAAATGGGAATTTCTCTGCAGAATTTTCAAAAGCGCTAAATCCACGACAACAAAGAGAATGGAGGAGGTAGTCAACGGTAGATTGTAGATTTCAATAACCTTTTGGATTAAAATGGGAATAAGATGGTCATGTGTTAACTGGTGAATCAGAGGACAAAGGAACAGTTCCATATTTGCGAAGGGGTGGGTACAGAAAAAGAAGTCAGTCTTTTATTGCAACTCAGGAAAATAATATTTGTATACTCATTATACTCTAATATGATATGAAGGCTGCTATGCCGTGATAACAAATTACCACACATTTCACTGGCCAGCTACTGAACATGTGATCTTTCACTCAATGCTATTTCTCTCTATACCAGTTAAAAGGGCAGTTCTGCACCCATGTAGTTCCCCAGAGACCTACGCTGACAAGTGGCAGGCCCACTGCCATCCGAAACTGGAGCATGCAGACTCTTTTCTTAAGATGTATTTATTTATGCATACAAGAACTGGGGTGCAGGCCAGTGCTGAGTGGGGAGCAGAACAAGTAGATCTACTGAAATACACTGCTGAGGGAGAAGCAGGTCAGACAGGAGAGGTCTGCTGTGTCTGCTGTGTCATGTGGCTGGGAAAGGCTTGATAGTGCTGTCTTTAACAGATTCTTGCCCTCTTCATGACTGGACTAGCAAAGAGTGTTGCATCTCAACAATGAGACTTTTTAGCATGGAAATGATTCCTGTCATCTCCACTTAGTCTACAGCAGCCTGAGCTTGTCTGAGACTTCTCGGCTTTCTCACAAGGGCATGGTCAACTTTAATCTTCAGCATGTCCAGAAAGAGAGGTGTGTGGCTTGGTGAACACAGGATCTCTCTCTGTTCACAGGAGTTATTTAGATGGGTTTGGTGTTAATGATTTGTGTTTCACAGTCTCTACAAACTACTATGATACTTTGAGTGGAAAAGAACTTACTGTCTTTTATGTCTCTAGATATTTTTCTAAAATTTTATTATAAAGTTATCTTTAACTTATACAATTATTTTAACGTTGAAAGAATTTCATAGTGAATATCTTTATCCCTAGAGTCTATCATTAACATTTTGTTGTTTTTTTTTTTACTTCATTACCAATTTCTTCCAGACACAATATTGTCTAAAAATTTGTTAACATGTCTTTGCTTAGGAACCTCAAATAATAATAAAATCAACAATACCGAAGATTATATTTATTTAATGAGCTCCTTTTCTATTTTAAGCACCTTACAGGTACTGTTTCTTATTCAGAGAAATAACAGTGCGCATCTTCTCTGCCTACTGTAAATATAAAGACCCATCGACCAAAGTCCAATGAGTGATGTGCTAAAGTTCTCTTAGCAGATCTGTGATTCAAATTCACTCACATCTGAGTTTATATCCTTAGTGCTTTTACCACTGCATCTCACCATACTTTGATTTCAATGCCTCATAACTCTCAAGTTGTCCAAATCACTTTCTGCCCCATTCCTCTAAACTATGTAATAACTGTGCATGCAATCTGAATTTGTAGAGGTAACTGATCTTGTCTAAAAAAATGTTTGCTTCATCTTCTGTACATTTTTCTGAAGGCAATGTGCCAACTTCTAGATAGCATTCTTGGTCTTTATTCCTAGTAACCAACAGTTTTGTTATGTCACTCTTAATGCAAGCAGGAGGCCAGAGAGTGGAATATAAAGCACAGCTCTTGTCCTGTTGGAAACAAACTCTGGCATCATAACATACTCTACGGATAGATTTTCAGATGGGTTTTGCAAAAGTCATTCCTGCTAGTCATTTAATGTTCTGATCTTTTTCCAGGACAATTTTAGCTTGTCTTCAGAAACCTTTAAGAATTCAGATAATAAGTCTTTTTCTACACACAAATTTTGTTTATTCAGCTGAATGTCACAAAGAAAGCAGTATTTTTTCCAAAGATAGAACAATAAATTCAAGCTTCAAGATAATTATGCTGTGATTTTGCAAATTATCTTGTATATTTGCTTTAACAGTTTTGAATTCTGCAAAAATGCTTATATATAATTTTCCTTTTTTTCCTGGTGCAGAAATATTTTGAGCATATTTTTGAGATCTCTCTCACATGAATAAAAATAATTTCCCTGTACTTTTAGGCAAACACATTTATTTCAATGATTGTTAAATTGTATATTATCTTTAATACTGGCTGTGTTTCATATATTGTGAAATGATCATTCCAAAGAGCGTGGTGATTTTCAAACTGAGTCTGTTATAGCCAATTGCTATGGGCCTATATGTGTTATCTAGAATACTCTTTTTTTTTTAAGATTTATTTTTATTTGTTTATGCATGTAAGAACTGGGGTCTAGGCAAGAGGTACAAGGGGAGGGGAATGAGAGTGTTCACCAGAGACAGAGTAGGGCCAGAAGAGGTGGATCTACTGAAATACACTGCTGAAGGGGCCCGCAGGCAAAACAGGAGAGGTCTGCTACACCATGTGGGTCAGTTCCCTGGCCAGGGATTGACCTCATGCTGCAGTGTTTGCTGATAGCTTCATAGTTCTGACATTTAACCCCTATGCCATCAGAGAAAACCTCTCAACTTATTTTTTAAAGATTTATTTATGCATCCAAGAACTGCGGTATAGGCTAGAAATCAGAGGTGTGTGTGTGTGAAGGGGAGTTAGGTGTGTGGGTAGGGGTGGGAGGATTCACCAGAGACAGAGTAGGGAGTAGAACAAGCAGACTGACTAAAATATACTGCTGCTGAAGGGAACAGTGAGAGGGACAGGAGAGGTCTGATGTGCCTGTGGGTAGCATGTGAGTTCATGCTGCAGTGGCTGGTGATAGCTTGATAGCTCTGAAACTTCAACCCTTGCACACACCAGGGAGACCCTCAAATATTCTTGTTCATTTTTCAACTACCGTGGCATATATTGTCACGAGAATTGCTGTCACACAGTGAAAAAAAGCAGGAACTCAGAAAGCAGGCTACCTGGATTCGAATCCGGTGTCTGCTATTCAACAACCATACATCCTTGACCAAGGTACAGATATTTTTATTCAAAAATTTTACCATTTTGCCCAATGCTTCTCCCGAGGGTGCTAAAATGAACTGAAGGGAATGCTTAAAGTTGAAAAATTCTGAAGGCAACATTTCACAATTTATCTTCCAGATCAGGAATTCTTTTTGTATCCTTTCTTTTGAATCATCTAACACTCATTTTCTGTCTAAGTAGTTCTAATAGGTAGTTTTACCTAAAGTTAAGCTGTCTCCATTGCTGGGCAACTCTGAACAACTATTTGAAGATTCTCCCTTAGCTAGAGCAAAAAAAAAAAAAAGTACTTTTATTAATTATCACATTTATGAGCTTCCTGGAATATACTGTTGACCCTTTTCAAATGGCACTTTTTCAAGTATTTAAAGTTGCTTGTTTCTTTCAATATATTCTTTTTAAGATATCTGATTACCTGTATTTTATGACATTGCATTCTTAAATTTTTTTTGAGCTTTGAAGTTTTTGTAGAGATTTTTTTTTTCATACAACCAATTAATTTGATTTCTTGCTTTTGGCCAACATTCTTTTTATAAAAATATTTAAAATATGTTATTTATCACTTCCCTCCCCCCCCAAATAAATTTTGGTGTAAAACTTAAGTAGTTTCTTACATATATTATATTCTCCTGTTGGGAATTCTCATCACAGAGTAACATACTACATTTCTGAGAACACTTGAACTTGGACTTGAATATTCAATTTTATCTAGTGTCGCACAAAGGTATTTGAGCCAGATCCTTCAAGGAAATATATATATATATATATATAATTTTATAGTTTTTCAAAATATTACAATATTTTAAAAGGTAAATATTATCTAAATTATTCATATATCATACAAAATCAGAAGTCTAAAATTTTTGTTAATAAAATTTTGTTTTTAATTCAAGATACAGTTGTGTTTTGTCAAGTGATGAAAACATAATTTTTTGTTTACTGGCTGAAAAGGAAAAACAAAGGGAAAGCATTTGCATATATTCATGCTATACAAACAGAGATCCTTGGTACCATTGGTACCATTACATTTTTATTAAAATATATTCTTAATGAAATTATGAGAAATTCCCCTGAAATAAATATTTTACTTCTGTTTCACTAGATATCATTCACTCCTTTTATTGAAAAAATGTCCTCCAAATGCTGGTAAATAGAAAAACTGAACAATTTGCAATTTTAGTGGATTTAGGGCTTAAAGCATTAACCTTAGTGCTTTGTGTCAGAAATGTATTATAATAAATGATGTATAACAATAAATGTAAAAATTAGGGCTTGCTTAATTGATAGAGAATATTGTTCTAGGTTTAAAAACAACTATAAAATTAGTAGTGAACTATAAATGGCTATAACATTGTGATGTGGTATTAAATGACTAGAAAGCTCTTATTATGAAGTATTACATATAGGTCATGCTCACTCTTAAGCAAAACACCAAATTTGCACCTCAAATACCATTAAACAATCCACCTTTAATTCCCATTTTCTCCATATTTTTCTAGCTCATGCTATATTAGTAGTTATCCAATAAATGTAGCATCTGCATAAGCAATTCTGAAGATGAACAAATACATTCTTTCTGTTATACAACAATGCAACTGTATGATTTGGTATTATTAAACTGTGAAAGAGAAAAAAAATTATCTTTGAGTTGATAAACAATCTTAACTCTGTGTCTGGTTTATTAAAGAAAAGCAGACTTTGCTACATATCATTAGCAAAGTATCTTTGGATGGGAAAAATAAGCTGCACAAGTGAAAATGATAGCCAGGAACAACTGGAAATGTGAGTTTTATCTTAAATCTATGAATGATATTCAAATTTCATGTTAGAGATATTTGTTTGATAAACCCATTTGAGATTGTTGAAGATGTTTTTTAAATAATGACAGCTTGGAGGAACCTAAAACAGGTCATTAAATCCATTGGGATTGGTGGCTTGATTTCATTTCCATCCAGTCGGAGATAGCTAAGGTGAGGTCCGTACTGGAAGAAGTCTTGTTCTGCAGGCAGTGTAACAGGAGTAGGGCATATAACAGAGACATTCACATCTATGGAGGCAAAAACAACATGATGAATGAATTGGAACCCAAGAGACTAAGGGTTGGAATAGGAAGACAAGAAACATAAGCAATGGTTCTATGAGAGGGCTTAGAAACTCGCAGAAACTATTTTTGTCCACCTAGGAGGTTGTGCAAATCTATTTTATAAAAGTTAACCCTGAAAAAATTAGCAATTTATATCTATATCAGTTATATTTAGAACAAAGAACTACAAAGGGCATATTGTTTAATGCTGTGATGGAAATCAAGGTATGTAAGTTGTATCACTTCTAGCTTGCAGGAAAGATAAGGAATGCACAGATTACTCAGGATGAGAATAGGTAGTATTTAAGGCATCACTGCTGGAAATAATAGCTAGGTGTCTGGGTGGATGGATGGATGGATAGATAAATGGATAGGTGCAAAATCAGTCTATTATTAGAGCACATGTTTGGAAACTATAGTAGGCAATGGTATCTACACCTGAAAGGAGGATCCTACACTTCTAAAATACAATGTAAACTCAAGTATTATTTAAAAATGCAACATTTCAAACTAGCAGTGTATGATCACCAGATTTTGAAAAAAGTACAACTAATATAACTTGAATCTCCAAATTTAAATGTATTTAATTGGAAATGAAACATTTGCCAAGGATTAAATTATAAAGAATGTAAGCCAGGAAATATCCCATCAGCCTTTTCGGATGGTTAAGATGTGAGAAATTGTGCACCTGCCTTGGATCAGAGCCTTTGGATCAGTTCCTACAATGAGACTGAGGAGTATTCAGAAGAGAAGCCTGTTAAATGAGCCAAATTCAGTAAGTGTGTCAAATAGCCGATCTTACCCCAAAAGGTGCATACCGCCTTTAAATCTGATTTTAAACTATATTCATTCAAGAGGTCTTCTTTCTGGTGGTAAGCCCTACCTCACATGAGTGATGAGCCTCCTTTATATCCTGTTAGTACATGGAGATAGATTCATACTCTATTGAATGTTTTCATGCCTATAGCAAATCTATGTGATAACGCTTTGTGGATGACATTTATATAGTATATTTTGCTAAAAGTAATGACATTAATATAGTATAGTTATATTTATCAATCCTTTTATTTTGCCCATGGACATCATTACCCTTGTTATCATAAGGCCTTTATCAGATAGTAGTTTCCTTTATCTGGACACTGAGACACTAGTTGTTCAGGCAGATAGATTGGTGTGCACAGGGAAATGTCAGGGTTGGGGATCACCTAACCTTTTGTACTCGGCAAGGTCCCTCCTCTACTGCAGAGACTGTTTCTTTTTGGAAGTTCTCTCTCTTTATCTTCCTGTTTATACTCAAATTTTGAATACATAGACTAAAGAAATAACTGTTCCTATTTTAATATTTTCTTAAATATGCATTTCCTAAGAGTACCAAGAAGTAATGTATTTGGACAGATAACATTTTTAGAAATTCCACTTATTTATTCAGATAATTGGAATATAACAAGAATAACTTATTTGATTTGAGGATTCTTTTTGCCAAATTTAAAATGTCTGAGTTCAGACAGACAAATATGTTTCCATAATTCTGAGTAAGAAAAGTGCACTGTCCTGTAAATTCTGAGAACCCTTCCTATAAAAGCTGTTTCTTGGAAACCACTTTATTAACAACTAGTGTAAGATCATGTGGCCAGAAGAACTGAGCACTTTAACAGTTATAACACAGTATAATAAAATGTTTGCCAATAATTCTAGCCAGGCAAATTTTCCTTCTACATTGTTCTCTTGCAATATAGAAATGACTATACTCGCTATCTCCATAAAGTGGAAAATATACTGACTTCTCTTTGTTGATGTTACTGCTGTTAAAATTATTCTTGCCCCTATTAACTGACATTTTTCTTAAGTATTGATTCTGAGGAGTGAAGAAAAATGTGCTGAGATATATGAGTGAGAGAAACAAACAAACAAAAAAATCAAATGAGAGGTCCTGGCTGGGCTCAGATCCTGCCTAGCCTATGTATGCTCAACCCTTGAGCAAATATCTTCTCCTGGTTGAACTTCGGTGTTTTTTTCTTCAGAAATTACTAATCATACATGATGGTTCTTGTGAAAGTTAATTTTGGTTCTCCAAGTGCAGTCAGTGGGCCAGCAGCACCAATACCACCTAGTAACTAAATGTCTGGGTCCCCCTCCCGTGCCCCCACTGAGTCAGAAACATGTGGTGGCATCCAGAAGCCTATATTACAGAATTTCCCTGGTGATTCTGATGGACAGAAAGTTATGAGAACAATTGAAAAATACAAATATATGAGAAAACACTTTGAAAAAACTCTCTAAAATATGATTAAAGGAAGAGGAGACCTGCTCTTGTGTAACTTTGTGTTGAATAAGAACCAAGAGGACTTGCGCAGTTGCCTGCTGGATTTTTTCCCCCCTCACCCCAAATCATCCTTAATCTCAAATTCTCAGAGGAAACCCAATCCACAAACAGGGCTTTGTGTAAAATCACTTTAAATGAACTTCACACCCTAAGTGGCTATGGGGTCTTTTGTTGTCAAATAAGGAAGGCACCTGTGGAAACACAGAACTGTCATTAGGAAACAATACATATTTAGATAAATATTGACTCTTGTTCTATTTGGTGCTAAGAAACAGACCCAGCTATTACCACACCAATTTTCTTTCTCTGTTGCATCTTTTGCTTTTGACTACAGGACTAAATGTGTCTTATCACCATGGAAAAAGAATCACAGTGGCAATTAAGTGACTTGTTAGTTCCTGGATTTTGTACTCTAATGTGATGATAGAAAAAAAAAAAATTGAATAACTGAGTTGTATCCAGTGGAAAATCATCTATCACTATAAATGGGATGTTTATGGGATTGTTTGTTTAAAGGGAATTTTAGTGAGAAATAACCAGGTAGCACAGCCTCTATTTTGTGTTATTTTCCTACAAACTGACTTGTTCTCCCTTTAGGAGTGTCTCTACAAGGTTGTTGCGAAGTCTCTTCAAAATTATCTTCCTAATTTGAATCCTTGTCAGATACGGACCCCTGTCCTTGTAAGCAGCCCACCCCACTGCCCACTCTGGAAGTGCCTAGTTGGCCTTTCCAGAGCTCTAGTCTCTGCTTCCTGCCGCCTTTGCTTCCCTTGATGATTTCTCATTTCTCTCCCTTTTAAAAGTTATTTGCAGAAAAGAAGCAGGTAGCCTTGCTAATTACCATCACTTCTGAGGAGTTGCCACATTCTAGGGGGCATTGGTTTCCCCAAGCAAAGTCTTAACAGGATTGGTTCCCATTGCTAGGTCCCAAGAGCAGCAGGTCCCGCCCCGCCCCGCCCACTGAGAACAAACTGCTCAGAAGCTGGAGAAATCACTGACCTACAGCAGAGCCTCTAGTTAGGGTGGTACCTGTATCAACTTTGCTTCAGTTTCTAGGACAGAGGTGCCCTTCTGAAGCCACGTCAGTGACAGTCCTCCTGTTCCTATTTATGAGGTTGATTATACCTCAAACACCTTCTTACATAAATCAACCCAGAAAGAAAGAAATGCCAGTGTCTCTTCAGAGTAACAGAAGCTAGAGACCTATCATTTCTCCCCTAGACAATAGCCTTCTTTACTGACCATTTTTTCAATCTGCAATTTGAAGGTTTGGAATTTTGAGTTCATTGAACTGCCTGACTACAAAAGTCAAACGAATCCTCAATGTAGTTGGGGAAAAGTCAACACAATGGAATCAGTGTAATGATCAAGAGCACATCAGTCAAAGCCACACCCTCACAGTCACTTACTTTTAATTTTGTTATGATCGAGGTGGAGGTGTTGCAGGCGAGTACTGATTCGGGGAACCTTTGTGAGTTGATTATGAGACAGCTGAAGGTCTAGAATTGATGATACATCAAAACCTCTTGAAGGGAGACCTGCATCTGACAATTTGTTGTGGTTTAGTCTCAGGAAGGCCACTTTGGGAATCACATTGAAATAATTTTCTGGTATTTCTTCAATAGAATTGTTGTCTAGAAACAGTTGCATTGTATTTGCTGGCAATCGTGGTGGCATATTCCTCAGGGCATTCTTGGCCATATTTAGCTGCATGAGGTTCTTGAGACCCTTAAAGGTGTCTCTTTGAAAGGCATTGTCCAATAGTTTATTGTGCTGCAGGTCAAGAAGGGTCAGGTTCTCCAGGTTGCTGAAAGTTCCTTGAGGAATTCGGGACACCTTGTTTCTAGCTAACTGCAATTGTTCTAAACTTCTTGGCAAAGGAGAAGGTACCTCCTCTAGCTCATTATCTTCCAGAAATAAGAAAAGCAGCTTTTTCAGTTGGCTCAGGGCTCCTTTCTCAATTCCATAGTTGGTGATTTTATTCTTGTTTAGATTTATCCATCTGAGTTGGGTAGCATTCTCGAATGGCTTCTCAGGAATGGTCTCTATGAGATTATTTTCAAGATAAAGATACCAGATCCTTGAAGGAATAGCAGGGATTTCTTTGAGACCTCGATTTTCACAATATAAAGCAGTAGGGAAACTCGGGGGACAGAAACATTCCCTAGGACAATCAAAGTCATCTTCGTTGAAATCCTCTGGATCGTGTATCTCAGAGACCTGTCTCACACTTTGAGTCCATACACTATCTGTTATGAATAACACCCACAGGATGAAACACATTGTGGTCGCCATTATTGTACCTAGGATAAGGGATACAACTATGAGATGTTTGAAAATAGTGACCTCCAGATAACTGTATACACCAAGTTGTCAGTTAACAACATTTTGGGGAATAAATACATGTCAACATTTCATTCATAGAGATCAATGAACAAGCTATTATTTAGTAGGTGCTACTTGTGAAACATCTTTTACAAACACTGAAAATGACTCACCAACTTGTAGCTTTCTAGTTTCAAACTGAATTTCAATGAAAACAAAAATGGAAAGTAAATTTTAGGAACTCTAAGTGCTTTTTCCATTTCAAGCTGTTTAATGCAAGAAAGTTAACCAAAACCCATAGCTGAATATGAGTAGCCAAAAGTGATCTTTTAATAATTCAAATTCAGCATCTGTGTTGCTGCTGAGAAGTAGGCATATGCTTTTACTTTTACTCCTAGATGAGAGGAACATCTGGATGAGATTTCCCAGGCTCTCTGGCCCCTGTACCAAAGAAATAGAGAGATCAAAGAATGTTTTAGCAGTTGTGGTGAAGGAAGGTTTTCAAGATCTGAGGAAGAGTGTTTGATTAATCTCTTGCTCTTTTGGTCAACTTCTCAGGTAAGTCTTATTTTGGGGTGCAGTGAAAGAATTCTAGTATAAATACAGAATAAAATTGTTCAGCCAAGAAGTTTGAATTGTGAACTCTATATATCACAATGAGTAAAATAATATATTCAGCTATAGTTTTACTATGGTTAATAAATAACAAAAAGCAAAACATATTTTGAATACAGTTAAGAGTCCATATTTTCAGTAAGACAGTGAACAAAAATTGACTAACACTTAATGATTTATAATAACTCTAAAAGACATAAATAAAACCTCCCCAGTAAATAGCAACAATGTTATGAATACAATGGACTACTAGGAAAAAATATCTATATGTATAACAGCATATTTAATTCAACCAGTTGATAATAATGACAGGATAAATTTTATTGATTTCTCAGCAAAAGAAACATCTCTCATTTACGAAATACTGATCTTTCAATTTTACCACTAAATTGAGATCAGTGACAAATGTTTCTGCAAGCTGTCAACTTTAGAATTCTGCTCTGGTCATCTTCCAATAGAGACACATTAAAACGGTCCTTTTCTCACAATAGGAATTTCCTTTAGCTACTGAGGCTATCATCCTGTCTCTGATGAATCAGAACATTGAATTCTTTAAGAGTTTATAAAAGTGCAAAATAGTTTACCTTGCTGTCCAGGAATATACCGTTGAGTCCTGTGTCTGGGTCTGGCGTTTGCTAAAAATCAGTTAAGGGAAAGAGAAAAAAAAAAAAACTTTAAAATACCTTGTTTTTCTTTTATGCTTTTGAGTTTCTTACAAGAATAAGTAAATCCTACTCTGATAGATCACCATAAACACTTTGATCTATGGCTTCAACTTTGACAGGGATTCAGGAGCTTGCTTGCTTACCTCAGTCCTCTTGGATCTTCTTCTTCCTTTCCTATTGGCCACGGCTCGTTCATGGCAATGGGTTGACCCAAGCTTCACTGCCCGGCTCTTATGAATCCTTCCTACTCTATATGCATCAGTGACTCCAACTTTAACCCCTCCAGTAACCACCGTACCTTGGTATGAGGCAGTCCAGCACAGAAAATTCTAATTTGAATCTCAATAACCTATAGCAAAACCTCAGCACAGTTTTCTCTCTGCATTTCATCTCCAAAAATGCTGCATTTTCCTGATACCTGGACCTCACTTTCTAGCAGGCAACTGAAGGCAGTTTTTATTTCACCAATAACACCAAGAGATTTTAAAGCACTTTTCTCTAGATACTCTTTTTTTTTTTAATTAAGTGCCAAAAGATAAAGGTCAATGTCCTTTGTTTATATGGAAATATGTTATTCTTCATATAAAACTGATGCTGGAATTGTGTTTAATGAAGGTATGCTTGATGAAGGGGAAAAAAGCAAAATAGATTTGAAAAATTTTAAGTGAAAGCTGGTAAGCTATACCTGATGTTGGCATGATACATGGTATTATGCTTTATTTTGTGGAAATACAATGTTGTGTATATTACTGGGAGCTTAAAAAGTAATTATTAAATTACTATTTTCTCATTAGGACATATGTTTTACATTTAGAACTTTAAAGACCTTCCTTCAGCTGCATGACTACTTTTTCCTTTAAAACCCAAAGCCAAGATAACATGTCCCTTCTAGTTCTCATATTTGAGGAAAAATATGCTTTTTGAGGAAAGACATAAAAGGAAAAAAATATTTTTCAACTATTTATAATCAATTAGTTTTTAAAAATTTATTCTGGGATCAGAAAGATTCATTTTTATGACTCATTCAACAATGTTCACAAAATTATTTTAAGGTCAGAAGACAATGAAGAAAAGACAAGACTGTTCAAGAATCTTTTGTGAGAACAAAAGGCAGGTGAATTAGAGCTCAGACCTGCCATCTGGGAAGCAGTAGTGGGCTGCCTCAAAACAGACCTGATTTTATCATAAGTGATTGTGGGAATGATGGCTTTTCTTAAGTGTTAGACTGATACATTCAACTTGGAGATACATTTATGGACATTTATAGACTATATCTGATTCAAACATGATCACATGGTTATTTTGAAGGCACACTCATATTTGAAGAAAAAAAAAGTTACCGCCTTCTTACAACAATGATCTACATTTTTTCCTGTTCTCTTACATGTTTTCTAACTCCTCAGGATATCAACAACAGATGATCTTCAAAATCTGTACCACCCCCCTCTTCAGCTACTCCCTTTACTTAATTTTTGATTTGAGCCAAACTGTCATTCCTAACTCTACGTGTTCACGGTAGGAATAACATACTGTCTTCATTTCCTATTCCCATTCCACCCATGATCAACAGTGATCTTCAGATGTATTAATCTGCTGGAGTTTTTAAGTAATAGATTACTTGATATGTAACTTTTAGTAAGGTTGATCTTCCATTTTATTACTTTCTCTAACATCATTTGCCTCTAGTTCACCTTTTGTGACATCTCCTATTTATATCTTGAAGCTCTTTCCTCTACATTAAAAAAAAATGTTTCTAGTGTTGAGTGTCATGCATTTCTTGCTCTATACATCACATTATATGTGGTGTTCATAGTTCAAAGAGACTGGCTATATGTCCTTATTCCTACAGAAAATCTTTTAGTATTCTTTATCACTTTGGAGAGAGATCTCAACTTTCCTTAAATACCCTAAACTTCTATAATAAAATTATAGCTTGACCACCATCTTCCATTATATTTGTCCCCAGTGTTCTTCACATTCAATTGTCTAACCAATGTATTTAGCATTAGCTAAATCACATGTACTACATGTGACTGCAGATGGAATCACATGATGCCTTATGAGATGGTATTTCTGCAGACTGAATGAGATACAAAGTCAAGGAGTTAACACAATCCAGAAATAGTAAGGCAAAATTATGTGCTTTTTCTCTTCTGTTGAAAGAAAGCAGACTGCTTCTTGTAATTTTGTTTATCGAAATACAGGAAAAATACATTACTTAGATCAATTACTTCATATAAGGTACAAAGAATGATAATGATTTGGATCACATAAAGAACAGAATTTGTAACAGGAGTTGCCATCTAATTAAACTTTGGAAAATCCATTTTTATCATCTTAAACTAGCCTTTCACTGCCAAACACAAAAGGAATCTGTTGTGAATCATTAACACTGTACTTTAAGTGATTGAAGGTGGCACTAATATGGCTGACTTTGTTATGGAAGAGGTTTTCAACATTTTTTTTTTTTTAAGATTTATTTATTCATACAGAACTGGGGTACAGGCCAGAGGCTCAGGGGCGGTGAGAGGTTTCACCAGAGACAGAGTGGGGAGCAGAACAGGCAGATCGACGAAGTACACTGCTGAGGGGAGCAGCGGGCGGGGCAGGAGCGGTCTGCCACACCATGTGGTCACCTCTGGGGCAGGCGGGAATTTAATTCACGCAGAAGTGGCTTTAGCTTCTCAGTGCTGTGTTTTAACCCGCTGCGCCACCAGGGAGGGCCCAGTTTTCAACAGTTTTATAGGCTTGGGAAGCTTTTGATTTTATCTTTCCAATCAAAAAGTTCCTTTTTTTCATGTACAGAGCTGGTGTGTGATATCACTTTGAAGGTCATATATCAACATATACAATCATGAACCTAGGAAATATCTATGGGGAAGCTGTCATCACATTAACATCAGAAAGCCCTCACTATTGGAATACAGAAGCACTCTGCACCCCCAGAAATTTGTGTTGTTTCAAAACTATGTGTTCTTTCTCAAGGCACAGTCATTTTGGTAACAGCCTCTTTATTTTTTTAAGAAGATTTAAGATTTTATTTATTTTTAAAATTTACATATTTTTTAATTTTTATATGTTTTTTTACATCATTCTTCATTTTTATACCTTGTATGCTTTATCCACCTGTGCTATTATTAGGAACAATTATGTTTAAGAGAAATAGCACACCCTTGTGATAGCATCATCACAAGCTATTACTTAAGACAAGTTTTCTTTATTTTCACTCTTAGAACTCTAGATTCATGACTTAACTAAGGTTTAAAAATATAGTGAAGGGCCCTCCCTGGTGGCGCAGCGGGTTAAAGCACTGCACTAAGAAGCTGAAACCACTTCCGCATGAGTTGGATTCCTGCCTGCCCCGGAGGAGATCCACATGGCGCGGCAGACCTCTCCTGACCCGCCCGCTGCTCCCTCAGCAGTGTACTTCGTCGATCTGCCTGTTCTGCTCCCACTCTGTCTCTGGTGAATCCTCTCACCCTCCGCATCTCTGGCCTGTACCCCAATTTTGTATGAATAAATAAATAAATATTAAAAATATATATATAGTGAAAAGCATTGTGTGTCACAATCACTCATCTAAGTCTCTGGTGTGCAGTTCTGCAAGGTTTTTGATTGTTTGATTTCAAACAATTACATGGAGAACTTCACATCTCTTTCATTCTCAGCCATTCATTATTCTCAACCAGCCATTTCATTACTATTATTGTTATTGTTATTATTGTTATTATTATTATTATTATTATTATTATTATTATTATTATTATTATTATTATCCAGCTACTATTAAGTTTTCTTTGGGTCAGATTATTCTGATGTGTTAATTCTGATATGTTAATGGAAATTATATATATTTCACTCACTGGTAGTTAAATAACACTCCACTCTCTTTCATTACAGTTTTTTCCTTCCTTACTGAAACCAGGAAATCAATTTTCATTGTAGTGGTTTCTACCAGCAACCAACAAACATAGCTTATGTGTTTTTATAACAATACTGATACTCGCATTGCCAAAAGGTATGTCAATGTCTGGTGAAGATGGATAGTGAATTATATATGACAGATCCATTTTTATCATAGATTATAAGAATTCCATCTTGTGAAAGTTTTGGTTTATTTTCTGTAACACATGAAGAGGTCATCTTCATAAAATATAAACTTCCACTGAATTCCATTTTGTGGTAAATGATTCAGTAAACTAACAGTGCTCCCAGATGCTTAAACTGACTTGATGAATCCACAATATTTTATTGCACTCTCAAATAACTAATCAAACCTGACCATATATTATTTTTTGCTCTCCTTGGTTGAATATCTTCAGACTCTATCATCTGTCTTTCCTAAGCCCCTATGACTAAGGAAGTTTTCTCAATTCACTTACAGCAATAATTTAATTCCCAGATTTCATTTCTAATTGACTCACTATTGATGCATCATATTCTAGGTTGGAAATCATGGAAGATTAAAGGAAATGGGGTATGAAATGAATGCATTTTCTTTTTAAATTAATGATATGAGAGAGTATCAGCATTTTCAAACAAATAGGAATTATTTACGAGTCAAAGAACAAGGGCCTGTTTCAATTGGCAAAGGAAGTTCAGAGTTGAGGATAACAGCACTCTTACTTACCTGGATTTTCTTGTAGAAGCCCTATCCCAATTCTAGGGGGGTAGGGAGGCCTGTTTCCGCATGATCAAAGTTCTAACTTTTTATAAAGAGACATGATGAATAATGCTTTAATTCTGACACAGAATGAACTTTCAAAATGTTATCTCTATTGTCTACCTTAAAAGGAATGAGGTCTTCACTTTTTAAAAACAAATGTATAAAACTCCTGTATTTCAAGCCCTTGAACTTGAGCTGAGAGCTGAGGATGCCATTTATGTTTTCCCGTCACTCCTTGGGACTTGAAAAGCAGCAACTGTGTTCTTCAGTTCGGTTTCATCCCCTTCTTACTTTTCCTACAGACAATATGATAATAATTATATTGCTCCTCAAAGCATTTTCCTCAAGAGATCTGACATTTCAGGTAACTACAAGTATATGTACTATTTTTTGCAGGTCACTGTCTCCCAGACTTTCATCTTTGAATAATTTCAGTGTTTTTTCTTGTAGCTAACTGACAGCGATAACACAAATCTTGCTTTCTCCACATTTCCCAGTAAGCTTGAGGGATCAGTTTCTAGTACTGGTCTTGTCAATCAGGA